GGGGGTGGGGGGAGACCGGGGAGGACGGGGGGGGTGGGGGGGGGGGGGGGGGTGGGGGTGAGACGGGTGGGGGGGGTGAGACGCAGATTAATCGGCCGATATGTTCAGATTATTCATATTTGAAAAAGAGTCAAGTGCCGCTGCTCCTGAAAATGGACGTCAGTGTGTGAACAGCCCCACGTGGTCCTGGTCCTGGTCCTGGTCCTGATGGTCCTTTTTGTTCCAGATCCTGTGAGTCCTCTGAAGACCTCAGTCCCAGTGAGTCCTGTGCCACTGGAGCCCCGCCCCCCGGCACCAGAGCCCAGGTCAGTCCCGCCTCGAGTCCCGCCTCGAGTCCCGCCTCGAGTCCCGCCTCGAGTCCCGGTTCGTTCTTTCTGTTCTGACTCTTTTCTCTGTCGTCTCTTTGTCGTCTTCAGCGCGATGGAGGTGGACGTTCTCTTGTCCAATCAGGAGGCAGATCCCAGTGACATCACGGCGCAGATGAACGAACTGGAGGAAGCTCTGAAGTCCCCGCCCCCTTCTACAGAAGCGCCCTCTGGCCCCGCCCCTCCCGCGTCAAACCCCCCGCCTCAGACACGCCCACGACACAAGCCCCGCCTCCAGCGCCGTGTGAGGTCACCACACACCGGGTCCCGCCCCCTCTACAGACCCCGCCCCTCTACCACAGACCCCGCCCCCTCTACCACAGACCCCGCCCCTCTACCACAGACCCCGCCCCCCCGCAGCAGAGACTGGCTCAGTGTAAAGTTTTAGGAGTTTTTTAAACGTTTGTAGGTTTTTTGTTTTTTTTTGAGGAAACGGAGAGAACTCGGACACTTTGGTTTATTCATCGTTTTCATGTTCCTCCAATAAACTCTTCATCAAAAGTGTTTTTACTTTTGTTCAAAGATCCGTTTGTAAAATAAAACGACTTGTCTCATTCTTCACATTTTCAAATGTTTCAGCTCTGAAAATCTGTTTGAAGAGAAGGTTTCACACACAGGTGCAGGAGGGCGTCCGGCGTCCGACGCACTGATGCTTTGGAGACGACCACAACGAGCGACCGTTCGCCACCGAACGGCGCCGCGGTGAGTTTGTGAGGAGGCTCGTGTCGCTCGTGTCTGACGCTCTGAACACGACAAAACTCTGGGTTTTCAGGTGATTTTCAGGGGGTTTTCAGGGGTTTTGTTGTCGGGCCTCGTCCTGACTCGTCCTGACTCGTCCTGACTCGGGTCCGCGCCGCGGGTCTTGAAACAAAACAAAACCAGGTCTTGAAACAAAAACACGTCACACACAGAATTTGCAGCAGAAACATTTTTATTAGAAATTTAAAAAATAAAACAGAAACACGACGTTCAGAAACATTCGGCCTCGTCTTAATCTAAATGTAATGTTTGGACACGGCTTTGGTGTAACGGACATTTTGTTTTCAGTCGTCATGGAAACGGAGCGTGACCTCGGGTTAACCTTTAACATTTCACTAAGCCCCACCCACTGTTCATCCAATCAGAAGTGTGAACGGTCTGAGGGACACGACTTCTGTCCAATCACAGACGAGGACAGAACAACAAGAGGTGAAGTTTAGTTTTGGTGAAGTTTCCACAAATGTGACGAGGAGGAAGAGGAGGAAGAGGAGGAAGAGGAGGAAGAGGAGGAAGAGGAGAGGCAGGCGGACGGGAGGACAGACTTGATGAGGCAGCAACTGGAGAGGACGAGGATGAGGAGGAGGAGGAGTCGGGTAAAGGCAGCAACTGTTGCTCATTTAGAACCAAAGAATCAAACGCAGAACGAGAGGAAGAGGAGACAGACCCAGACTCTGTCCTCTCCCTCCTCAGTGACGGGTTCATCCTGCGGGGGGGGGGGGGGTTAGGAGTTTTTGGGGTCGTGTAGGATCCACGCGGCGCCGACACAGGCTCTGGGGGGGGGCTGATGGGGGGTTTTCCCGTGGGGGGGGTTCAGGCGGCGCTGGACACGGCGAGTTTCTTGAGGTGATCCATAAAGACCTGCAGACTGACGTCGTCCGTGAGGATCGGGGCCCCGGACTCCTGAGGGACACAGCACAGGTCAGAGGTCACAGGTCAACAGGTCAGAGGTCAACAGGTCAGAACGGTCACAGGTCAGAACAGGTCACAGGTCACTCACCTGACCCCAGGTGTACATGTTGTTGTGGGTCTGGGAGGGGTTCACTTTGGACAGAAGGAACCGAGCCTGAGAAAACAAAGTGAGAGGTCACAGAGAGGTCAGAGGTCACAGAGAGGTCAGAGGTCACACTGTGGGCTTGAGGTGGTTTAGACGAGTTGTGTGTGGATCTGTTTTTAAGGAGCTTTGGTTTCTGTTTTAGAACGTGAGGACGGCGGGGTCAGGGTTTGGAGGTGGGCGGGGTCAGGGTTTGGAGGTGGGCGGGGTCAGGGTTTGGAGGTGGGCGGGGTCAGGGTTTTGGAGGTGGGCGGGTCAGGGTTTTTGGAGGTGGGCGGGGTCAGGGTTTTTGGAGGTGGCGGGGTCAGGGTTTTTTGGAGGTGGGCGGGGTCAGGGTTTTTGGAGGTGGGCGGGGTTTGGAGGTGGGCGGGGTCAGGGGGGTCAGAGGTGGGCGGGGTCGGGTGGTACCTGGGAGCCTCCGTGTTCCGTGTCGATGTAGCGCGGCGTGGGGAAGCGCGTGTGCAGAAGTTCTTGGGCGTCGTCCACAGGAGCCTGCAGCAGGTGCTTGAAGTTCTCGTACTCGGGCATTTCATGATATTTGGCTTTTCTCCACTGAGCCACAGTCTGCACCAGAACACGAAGGAACCACAGAGAACGTGAAGGAACCACAGAGAACGTGAAGGAACCACAGAGAACGTGAAGGAACCACAGAGAACGTGAAGGAACCACAGAGAACGTGAAGGAACCACAGAGAACGTGAAGGAACCACACGAGAACGTGAAGGAACCACAGAACGTGAAGGAACCACACAGAACGTGAAGGAACCACACAGAACGTGAAGGAACCACAGAGAACGTGAAGGAACCACAGAGAACATGTTTAGAACACGCTGAGGAGTCACCAAAAACTCACTAAGAACATGAAGAGTAGCAGTAACAGTAGTACTAGCAGTATATGCAGGACTTGTAGTATTTGTAGTACTTGTAGTATCTGTAGTAGTAGTTGTAGTATTTGTAGTAGTACTTGTAGTAGTACTGTAGTAGTAGTAGTACTTTAGTAGTACTTGTAGTAGTGTTAGTAGTAGTGCTTGTAGTAGTACTTGTAGTAGTAGTACTTGTAGTAGTAGTACTTGTAGTAGTAGTAGTAGTACTTAGTAGTGTAGTAGTACTTAGTAGTAGTACTTGTAGTAGTACTTAGTAGTAGTAGTACTTGTAGTAGTACTTGTAGTAGTAGTACTTGTAGTAGTACTTGTAGTAGTACTTGCAGTAGTAGTACTTGTAGTAGTGCTTGTAGTAGTACTTGTAGTAGTAGTACTTGTAGTAGTACTTGTAGTTAGTACTTGCAGTAGTAGTGCTTGTAGTAGTGCTTGTAGTAGTACTTGTAGTAGTACTTGTAGTACTTGTAGTAGTAGTGCTTGTAGTAGTGCTTGTAGTAGTAGTAGTACTTGTAGTAGTAGTACTTGTAGTAGTACTTGCAGTAGTAGTAGTACTTGTAGTAGTACTTGTAGTAGTGCTTAGTAGTACTTGTAGTAGTACTTGTAGTAGTACTTGTAGTAGTACTTGTAGTAGTACTTGTACCTCTCCGTGGTAGATGAGGATCTGGAAGAACGTGTCCATGAGGAGGATTCTGTCCGGAAGAATCGAACTGGAGTCCAACAGAACTGGCTACAAGAAAAACTGGGTCAGAACCAGGACTAGACCAGGACTAGACCAGGACTAGACCAGGACTAGACCAGGACTAGACCAGGACTAGACCAGGTGGAGTCCCTCAGGCTGGGCAGATAGGGGGCGGGGCAGTAAGGTCTGTGTGGGTCCCTGTGTGTGAGTCTGTGTGGGTCTGTGGGGGGGTCAGTAGGTCAGTGGGGGGGTCAGTGGGTCTGTGGGGGGTCAGTGGGGGGGTCAGTAGGTCAGTGGGGGGTCAGTGGTCTGTGGGGGGGTCAGTGGGTCTGTGGGGGGGGGTCAGGGGGGGTCAGTAGGTCCCTGTGGGGGGGTCAGTGGGGGGTCAGTGGGTCAGTGGGTCTGTGGGGGGGTCAGTGGGTCCCTGTGGGGGGGGGGTCAGTAGGTCCCGGTGGGGGGGGGGGTCAGTGGGTCTGTGGGGGGGGGGGTGGGGGGGTCAGTGGGTCTGTGGGGGGGTCAGTGGGTCAGTGGGGGGTCAGGTCTGGGGGGTCAGGGGGTCAGTGGGTGTGGGGGGGTCAGTAGGTCCCTGTGGGGGTCAGGGTCAGTGGGTCAGTGGGGGGGTCAGTAGGTCCCTGTGGGGGGGTCAGTGGGTCTGTGGGGGGGTCAGTGGGGGGTCAGTAGGTCCCTGTGGGGGGTCAGTGGGGTCAGTGGGGGGGTCAGTGGGTCTGTGGGGGGGTCCAGTGGGTCCCAGCGGGGGGGGTCAGTAGGTCCCTGTGGGTGGGGTCAGTGGGGGGTCAGTGGGGGGGTCAGTAGGTCCCTGTGGGGGGGGTCAGTGGGTCCCTGTGGGGGGTCAGTGGGGGGTCAGTAGGTCCCTGTGGGGGGGTCAGTGGGTCTGTGGGGGGTCAGTGGGTCAGTGGGGGTCAGTAGGTCCTGTGGGGGGGTCAGTGGGTCTGTGGGGGGGTCAGTAGGTCCCTGTGGTCGGGGGTCAGTGGTCCCTGTGGGGGGGTCAGTGGGTCAGTGGGGGGTTCAGTAGGTCCCTGTGGGGGGGTCAGTGGGGGGGTCAGTAGGTCCCTGTGGGGGGGTCAGTGGGTCCCTGCGGGGGGGCCCTTACCTCCGGGGGCCCGTTGAAGGAGTAGGCGTAGAGGACGGGCTGGACCATGATGAGGGCCTGGGTCAGGTCTTGGCGGTTGAAGTGGTGTCTGTAGAAGCTGCTCTCGTCTGGACTGTTGTTAAACACCTGAAGGAACGGAGACCTGCGCAGGTGGAACATGAACTGTGGACCAATCACAGACAGGCAGGGTTAAACACACCAATCACAGACAGGCAGGGTTAAACACACCAATCACAAGGAGGGTTCAAGGTTAAAGGTCATAGGAGGTCAGAGGTCACCTGAGGATACAGGGAGAAGGTCTCAGAGAATCTGAAGGAGTTTGGGTCGTCCTTATGATAATCTCCAAACTTCTGACACTGGAACAAACAAAAGACAAATACTACAAGTACTACAAGTACTACTACTACTACTACTACTACTACTACTACTACTACTGTACTACTACTACTACTACTACTACTACTACTACTGTACTACTACTACTACTACTGCTGTACTACTGCTGTACTACTGCTGTACTACTACTACTGTACTACTACTACTGTACTACTACTACTGTACTACTACTGTACTACTACTGTACTACTACTACTACTGTACTACTGTACTACTACTACTACTGTACTACTACTGTACTACTACTACTACTGCTACTACTACTGTACTACTGCTGTACTACTACTACTGTACTACTACTACTGTACTACTACTACTACTACTGCTACTACTACTACTACTACTACTACTGTACTACTGTACTACTACTACTGTACTACTACTACTACTACTGTACTACTACTGTACTACTACTGTACTACTACTGTACTACTACTACTGTACTACTACTACTGTACTACTACTACTGCTACTACTACTACTGTACTACTACTACTGTACTACTACTACTGTACTACTACTGCTGTACTACTGCTGTACTACTGCTGTAGTACTGCAGCACTAATACAGCAGTACAACTGTACTACTGCTGTAGTAGTACAGTTGTACTGCTGTAGTAGTGCTGTAGTAGTACAGTACTGCTGTAGTAGTGCTGTAGTAGTACAGTACTGCTGTAGTAGTGCTGTAGTAGTACAGTACTGCTGTAGTAGTGCTGTAGTAGTGCTGTAGTAGTGCTAGTACAGTAGTGCTGTAGTAGTGCTGTAGTAGTACAGTAGTGCTGTAGTACTGCTGTAGTAGTGCTGTAGTAGTACAGTAGTGCTGTAGTAGTGCTGTAGTAGTACAGTAGTAGTACAGTAGTACTGCTGTAGTAGTGCTGTACTGCTGTAGTAGTACTGCAGTAGTGCTGTAGTAGTGCTGTACTGCTGTAGTAGTACGTAGTGCTGTAGTAGTGCTGTACTGCTGTAGTAGTACTGCAGTAGTACTGTAGTAGTACAGTAGTACTGCTGTAGTAGTGCTGTACTGCTGTAGTAGTAGTGCTGTACTGCTGTAGTAGTACTGCAGTAGTGCTGTAGTACCACAGCAGTACCAGAGGGGGCACTGTGTCGTACCAGGCGGATGAGTTGTCGGTCCAACCATCTCAGGACGTCGGGTCCTTCCTCCGTCTCGGCTCGATAAACCGCCAACCGAGCCATCAAGATGGCCGCCGCCTCCTGGTCAAACGACGCCGCGATGCTCTGGATCTGACTCTGAGCGTCTGTACACAAGTACTACTACAAGTATCTAAGTACAACACTAAGATACTACAGAGACTACTATACAAATACTATACTACTACTACTACTACTACATCTGCTCAGTCCGATAAACACAAGTACTACTACTACTACCAGTAGTCTATACAGCCTATAAGTAGTACCTGCTATAGCCTACCTGTAGTGCAGTAGTAGATCTTCAGTAATTTGTAGTATTTGTAGTACTTACTTCCTGGCAGTGACTCTGATTCGTCTTTGTCTGTAGTAGTAGTAGTAGTAGTAGTAGTAGTATTTGTAGTACTTACTTCCTGGCAGTGACTCTGACTCTGTATTCCTCTAGTAGCTCGAGTCCTTGATATTGAGTCACAAACTGAACGGCTCCTCGACCTCCCTGAGGAATCGGAGCGCTGTGCTGCAGGTCACACAGGTCATACAGGTCACACTCAGGTCATACAGGTCACATACAGGTCATACAGGTCACATACAGGTCATACAGGTCACACTCAGTCATACAGGTCACACTCAGGTCACTCAGGTCACACTCAGGTCACACAGATCACACTCAGGTCATACAGGTCACACTCAAGTCACACTCAGGTCACACTCAAGTCACACTCAGGTCACACAGATCACACTCAGTCACACAGATCACACTCAGGTCACACTCAGGTCATACAGGTCACTCAGGTCACACTTAGGTCACACTCAGGTCACACTCAGGTCACACAGATCACACTCAGGTCATACAGGTCACACTCAAGTCACACTCAGGTCACACTCAGGTCACACTCAGGTCACACAGATCACACTCAGGTCACACAGATCACACTCAGGTCACACAGGTCACACTCAGGTCACACTGGTCACATTCAGGTCACTCAGGTCACACTCAGGTCACACAGGTCACACTCAGGTCAGAAGTGTGTCTCAGTTCAAACCACTCAGACCATCATTAGTCTTGAGGGGGCAAGGGGGTCAGTAGTCTGTGGGGGGGTAGTCTGTGGGGGGTCAGTAGTCTTGTGGGGGGTCAGTAGCCTGTGGGGGAGTCAGTAGACTGTGGGGGGGTCAGTAGTCTTGTGGGGGGGTCAGTAGCCTGTGGGGGGGTCAGTTGTGGGGTCAGTAGTCTTGTGGGGGGGTCAGTAGCCTGTGTGGGGGGTCAGTAGACTGTGGGGGGGTCAGTAGTCTTGTGGGGGGGTCAGTAGCCTGGGGGGGTCAGTGGGGGGTCAGTAGTCTGTGGGGGGTCAGTAGCCTGGGGGGGGGGGGGGGGGGTCAGTAGTCTTGGGGGGGTCATGGGGGGGGTCAGTAGCCTGTGGGGGTCAGTAGACTGGGGGGTCAGTAGTCTTGTGGGGGGGGGGGGGTGGTCAGTGGGGGGGCTCTCTCGCTCTGAGCTGTAATTGTTTCTCTGCAGGTGACTGACGGCGTCTCCATGGAAACACTGCACAGGTGATTACAGGTAATTACACAAGCCCCGCCCCCTTCCCTCTGCACACAACACCTGAGACCAGAGACCAGACCAGGACTGAACCAGAGACCAGAGACCAGACCAGGACTGAACCAGAGACCAGAGACCAGGACTGAACCAGAGACCAGACCAGGACTGAACCAGAGACCAGAGACCAGACCAGGACTGAACCTGTCCAGAGGATCCAGATCAAAACCAGAGACAAAACCAGGTCTACACCAGGTCTACACCAGGACTGGACCAGGATCAAGGAGGAGTCTAAACCAGAGTCCGGACCGGAAACTACACCAGAGACCGGACCAGAGACCAGAGACCGGACCAGAGACCGGACCAGAGACCGGACCAGAGACCGGACCAGAGACCGGACCAGAGACCAGAGTCTGGAGAGAAGATGAGACTGGAAAAACTGAATCAAAGTGAATTTACCCAAGACAACGTTTGATGGAACTAAACTGGAACTAAACCAGGTCTGAACCAGAACTAAACCAGGACTAAACCAGGTCTGAACCAGAACTAAACCAGGACTAAACCAGGTCTGAACCAGGACTAAACCAGGACTAAACCAGGTCTGAACCAGGACTAAACCAGGACTCATGGACTTATTTTTAAATTTCTTTTGTTTCTTGATTTTAAAAAAATAAATTTGAGATTTTTTTTAGAGCTGCAACTGAACCATGACTCAGCAAATCCTCTGAGCTTAGACTAATGACAGGCTCCAGACCAGGACTAGACCAGGACTAGACCAGGACTAGACCAGGACTGAACCAGGACTGAACCAGGACTGAACCAGGACTAGACCTACAGTAGAATCAGAAGTGGATCTGGAGGAGAAGGTTCTGCTCCTGTTTCAGACTCGACTCCATCTGAAAACATCTCAACGGCTCTTCGCTCTCCAGACCCAGACTCAGACCCAGACCCAGACCCAGACTCAGACCCAGACTCAGACCCAGACCCAGACTCAGACTCAGACTCAGACTCAGACCCAGACCCAGACCCAGACCCAGACTCAGACCCAGACCCAGACTCAGACCCAGACTCATCCCCCTGACCCGCAGACCCATGTGACCCTGGTGTGTGGAGGCAGAGGTGCGTTTGACCCTCAGGATGAACTGCTCCCTGCTCCAGGCCCCGCCCAACCTCTCTGACCCCTGTGGGGAGGGTCCCTCTGGGGCCCCGGGGCTCTGCGGGGCCCTGTACTCGTGTCTGCTGGCTCTGCTCCTGCTGCCTGCTGCTGCGGGGAACCTGAGTCTGATCCTGACCCTCTGGACCAGAGACCCGGACCTCAGAGTCCTCGGAGGCCTCAGGGGGACGCCGGGGCACGGGACTAGAGGCTCCGGGGGGCCCGCGTGGTCCGGGGGGCCCGCGTGGTCCGGGGGTCCGTGCTCCTGCTTCACTCTGAGCCTGAGCGTGTCTGACCTGCTCCTCGGCCTCAGCGTCGTCCCCTCGGCTCTGTACTGCAGCATCGCCAACGTCCACCAGGGGGAGCCACACCCACACTGGTCAGTCACAGTCTGCTCAGGCAGGACGCCGCTTCTACTACTCTTCTTCCTCCTCACCCTCTCCTCTTCCTCACCCTCTCCTCTTCTTCCTCCTCTTCCTCACTTCCTCTTCGTCAGGTGTCAGGTGGGCGGGTTCCTCTTCGTCCTCTTCCTCACGTCGTCTCTTCACGCTCGCTTGTGGGCGGCGGTGAGGCAGTTTTGGGAGATCCGTCACGCCCTCAGTAATGGCCGCCTGTGGACTTCCTGTCGGATCCGCGTGTTGATTCTTCTTCTGTGGATTTACAGTGTCGTTAACGCCGCACTTCCTGTCCTGGGCGTGGGAAAGTACAGGTAGGAGCCGCCGCGCTCGCACCTGAGTGATGTCACATCCTGTACACGCCCTGTTCTGTCCCTCACACTGACGTTGCACCGGGGCCTTCTGTATGTGTGTCTATGGGGGAATGTTCAGCAGTTACCATGGAGCCACGACGCACAAACGCACGAACACAAACAGAAACGCACAAAGCACACGCAAACAGAAACACCGATAAAGACGTTTTAAGATCGTCTGAAAACTCCAGAAAAAAAACAACAAAGTGATTTAAAGAAACATTTAAAGTGACAGAGTCGAGTTTAACTGAAGGAGACGCACAAACACACTGAGCTAATGCTAACGCTAATGCTAATGCTTTATTTCCATGTTGTTTATCACAGACGCAGTCGGGTTATATTTATATTTACATTATATATTTGTATACATGCTGTATATATATATTATGTGTTATATACAGGTACAGCGTCGCTCGCGCTCTGTGCGCTCAGTCTGCTCGAGGATGATGTATATATGTTGTATATATGTTGTATAAATGTTGTATAAATGTTGTATGTTGTATAAATGTTATATGTTGTATATATGTTTTATATATATATATGTTATATTTTTGTGTTATATACAGGTACAGCGTCGCTCGCGCTCTGTGCGCTCAGTCTGCTCGAGGATGATGTATATATGTTGTATAAATGTTATATGTTGTATATATGTTTTATATATATGTTTTATATATATATATGTTATATTTTTGTGTTATATACAGGTACAGCGTCGCTCGCGCTCTGTGCGCGCTCAGTCTGCTCGAGGTGGACGGCGTCTCCAGGGCGATGTCGTTGTGGTGGCTGATTGTTTCCGTGGCGACGCCGCTGACGCTCACGTGCGCGCTCCAGGGGTACGTGGTGCACGTGGCGCGGCGACAGGCGCGAAGAGGAACCTTCAGGTGCAACGAGACGCACTGTTTCTACGTCCCCGCCCACGTCTACGAGAAGAGCTCCAACGCCCTGCTCACCGGGACAGGTCCGACTGAGACCGGGACCGAGACCGGACCGAGACCGGGACCGTGACCAGGACCGAGACCAGGACCGAGACCAGGACCGTGACCAGGACCGTGACCAGGACCGAGACCAGGACCGAGACCAGGACCGAGACCAGGACCGAGACCAGGACCGTGACCAGGACCGTGACCAGGACCGTGACCAGGACCGAGACCAGGACCGAGACCAGGACCGAGACCAGGACCGTGACCAGGACCGAGACCAGGACCGAGACCAGGACCGGGACTGAGACCAAGATCAGGACCACGACCAGAACAGGGAGGGACCAAGACCAGGACTGGGACTGAGACCAGGACAAACACTAGGACTAGGACCAGGACCAGGACCAGGACCAGGACTGGGCTCCAGGGTCTAGCCTGGTTTGCAGGTGGGATCATAACCAGTTTAGGAGCTGCTCAGATTCAGACTCATAAATGTGACACATGTAAACAGAACGACAGGTGTGTTTGTCTTTCATTACAGACGCACAGACAGGTGAGACAGGTGAGACAGGTGAGACAGGTGAGACAGGTGAGTGTCAGGTGAGTGTCAGGTGAGTGTCAGGTGAGGACAGGTGAGGACAGGTGAGGCAGGTGAAGGCAGGTGAGACAGGTGAGGCAGGTGAGTGTCAGGTGAGGCAGGTGAGGCAGGTGAGACAGGTGAGGCAGGTGAGTGTCAGGTGAGGTGACAGGTGAGTGTCAGGTGAGTGTCAGGTGAGACAGGTGTGACAGGTGCACTCATAGTTCTAATAATGTTCTGTGATGTTTTTATTAGTCACATATTTACACAAAGTAACAAACGAGTCTGACACAGACCAGGACTAAACCAGGACTAAACCAGGACTAAACCAGGACTAAACCAAGACTAAACCAGAACTAAACCAGGACTAAACTAGGTCTAGACCAGGTCTAAACCAGGTGTGGTCCTGTTCTCTCGTCAGGTGCGCTGCTTTTCACCTGGACTCCGTTTCTTTCTGTGAGTCTTTATGAAGTTCTGAGTCTGGACCTGGTCCCGGTCTGGGTCTCTCAGGGGTCCGTGCTCTTGGTGCTGAGCAGCTGCGCCGTGACCCCCGGAGTCACCTGCCTCACCCAGACGTAAGCCCCGCCCCCTGCACCTGACACGCACCTGACACATGAGAGGACACCTGACGCGCACCTGACGCGCACCTGACGCGCACCTGACCTGACGCGCACCTGACGCGCACCTGACGCACACCTGACGCACACCTGACGCACCTGACACACTGTTACGTGTGTCTCCGTTTGTTCCGTTTGTTCCGTTTGTTCCGTTTGTTCCGTTTGTTCCATTTGTTCCGTTTGTTCCGTTTGTTCCATTTGTTCCGTTTGTTCTGTTTGTTCCAGGCCGTATCGGGCGGCGGCGTGCGTCCTCATGTCCCGCCTCCTTCAGCGGTTCTCACGCCCAAGCCCCGCCCCTCCTCCTGAAGCGGCCAATCAGATCTCTACGACCTGGGACGTCACTTCCTGGAGCCGGGAACGCCGCCTCGTGATTCGCCAACGCGGATTTATGTTTCTGCGGCAACGGAGACTGACGGGAGCAGGCAGGGGCAGGCAGGGGCAGGCAGGAGGGCAGACAGGGGAAGGCAGGGGAGGCAGAGCAGGCAGGGAGCAGGCAGGAGCAGGCAGGGCAGGCAGGCAGGGGCAGGCAGGGGCAGGCAGGGCAGCAGGGACAGGGAGCAGGCAGGGGCAGGCAGGGGAAGGACAGGGGCAGACAGGGAGCAGCAGCAGGGGCAGACAGGGGGCAGGCAGGGGCAGCAGACAGGAGCAGACAGGGGAAGGCAGGGGCAGGCAGGGGCAGGACAGGAGCAGACAGGAGCAGCAGGGGGCAGGGGCAGACAGGAGCAGACAGGGGAAGGCAGGGGGCAGCAGACAGGAGCAGGCAGGGGCAGGCAGGGGCAGGACAGGGGCAGGCAGGGGGCAGGGCAGGGGCAGACAGGAGCAGGCAGGGGCAGGGCAGGGAGCAGGCAGGAGCAGACAGGGCAGGCAGGGGCAGACAGGAGCAGACAGGGGCAGACAGGAGCAGGCAGGGGCAGACGGATTTCTGACTCGATGTTTGCTAAATAAATAAAAGTTAAAGTTGTTCTCGTCCGTCGTGTCTTGGATCTGTGGATAAGCCCCGCCCCCTCTGCGCCCTCTGCTGGACGCTCCAGGACAATTCTCTACAGAGGCACAAAGCATTGTGGGAGTTGATGCTTCCTGAATGTCAGACTCAGGTCCTGGTTCAGTTCAGACGGAGACGGATCGTGTGAAAAAGTGATGATCAAACCTCCATGTTTGTTTCCCAGTGGGACGTGTCTGTTGTCAAAGTCGATCTTTTCAAGTCTTTTCAACCATTTCACTTTTGTTTCTGCTTCTGATATTGTCATATTTTAGTTTTGGGATTCGGACGTCGTCATTGTTGTGGTTGTTGGATCCAAACAGCGGAAAACGACTTCAGAAACGGACTTCAGAAGTTTGTGAACTTCATAAATGTAAAAGTGAATCAGATGTGTGTGACTCAAACCTCCGTTCAAACTGTTTCTCTTCCCAACGGAATTGAAAAATAGTGAAAGGTGAAGGTGATGGGCAGGATTGATCCACAGGAAGAACCAAAAAGGATGTCCCCCCCAGACCCCGCCCACAGGCCCCGCCCCCCAGACAAACCAGACCCCCGCCCCCAGGCCCACCCCCAAGCCCCGCCCCCTCAGGACACACAAGACTTCAGTAATATTTTTAGTCCATTGCACCTGGTTGTTTTCCATTGGTGTTTGGAGCTGTTTCCAGTGTGAGGGCGTCACAGGTGTAGTCGTAGTTGTAGTCATTGTATATGTAGTATTTGTAGTATTTGTAGTATTTGTAGTACCTGGTTGACGACTTCGAAGTAGAGGGCGAGGGTGGTGCTGGGGTCGAGGCCGCACACTTTCCACTGAGACGTTCCTCCAGTCCCGATCTCCTGAAACGACGACACAAACTCACGACTTTAACATGTTTAATGCTCACGTGTAACCAAGTACAAATGTCACGTACGAGATCATCACGACCCACACCTGACGCCCCCAGATTCATCTCCAGATTCATCTCCAGATTTAACAGAGGTTGATTTATTCGTTGAAGTGAAACTGTTTTACTTTTAAAAACTTTGACTAGATTTTGTTGTGAATTATTTCCGTCATAATCCTAAAAATTCAAGTAAAAACATGTTTCTTCGTGTTTTCGGCGCTGAAATGAATCATGGGAAATGTAGTTCTGATGTTTTTAAACTGTTACTAAAATAAAAAATGTATTTAAACCGAGGAATTGTGATTGTAAATATCGTGACGCTCCTCGATGTGACTGAGAGACGTTTGACGACACGACGACGACTTCACGTTTCAGTTACGTCCCAAATAATAAATAAATAATAAATAAATGTGTGTAATGTCCACGTGTGAGTAAATGTCCCATGATCCTCTGCTCTGTTCTGATGTGTTTCCTGTTGTCGTGTTTTGTTTCATTCACACGTTTAACACACAAACCCTCAAACTGAAAACACTCTGTTCCACCTTGTGATGTCATCATGTGGTGATACAGGAAGTGCTCCACTGTGGAGTTTAAAAACACACACCTTCACTAGAATCATCTGGATCAGTTCAGTCCTGAAGGGAACTAAAGCGAAAAGGAGCTGAGAACTTGATGACATCACAAGGTGGAACAGAGTGTTTGGAGGTCACGCCGTAGAGGTCAGGGGTCACGCCGTAGAGGTCAGGGGTCACGCCGTAGAGGTCAGGGGTCACGCCGTAGAGGTCAGGGGTCACGCCGTAGAGGTCAGACTCACGTTCTCGGAGACGCAGGGTCCTTTGGCGTTGAGGGACACACAGGGGCCGATGGCGCCAGAAACTTTCACCTCTCGAGACGTCTGCGAAGAAACACACACAAACACATCAAACACATCAAACACCTGTGTGTGTGTGTGTGTGTGTGTTTGTGTGTATCGTCTGTGTGTATCGTCTGTGTGCGTTGTGTGTGTTGTGTGTGTGTGTGTGTGTGTGTGTGTGTGTGTGTGTGTTTGTGTGTTTGTTTGTGTGTGTGTTTGTTTGTGTGTGTGTTTGTGTGTGTGTGTGTGTGTGTGTGTGTGTGTGTGTGTGTGTGTGTGTGTGTGTGTGTGTGTGTGTTGTGTTGTGTGTGTGTGTGTGTGTGTGTGTGTGTGTGTGTGTGTGTGTGTGTGTGTG